TTTGAATTGGTTACTAGCTTTGGTTATGTGCTGCTGACACATCCTGTTGTTGAACGGTAATTGTATGATGGATATTTTCGACTGCAAATGGCGAATGAATCTGTACCTGGAGAAACTGACGAAATATTGCGGGAGTAATGGAAACAAAGGATCCTTAGGGTGTGTAATGTAAAAAGGAATCTATGTGAGTTGTGCATGTCTGAGCAGAAGAATAAACCAAACAGGTTATATACTGCCAACAGAATGTGGGCCACGTATTTGAGTGCGGAAAACAAAATTTGAGAAGGAAATTGGAGGTATGAATAGATGAAAGGATCAAGATGGATATCATATTCGAAAATTTACAGTTGTCTTCATGCCGTAATATCAAGGTTTGTATGATCATGCAATAAAAGAACCAAGAAATATAGAAAAATACAAACAGGATTAGTTAAGAAACATTGTGTACGTACAAAATCTAATAGTTTCAACCAGAGGGAATGAATTTGTGTATCAACTTTACGTCAAGTCATGAAATATGGGTAACATTGAGCAACATCTATGAAAAGTATAAGAACTGCAAAGATATTTTGTTACAGAGGAATTTTTCATGTATAAATATGAATTTGAATGTGATATTATAACCTACATTGCGTGTCAAGCAGATAAGTTTTCAAATTACATGCATTAGGGAGTAAGATAGAAAAAGCAATGCTGATAACTAAAATCTTATGTATGCTTCTAGATTGTGTGTTTGCAAATTTCTGGGAGTTAACGCAGAAAGAAGAAAGGGGAATAGATAATCTCAAAACTGAACTGATTGCAAAGGAAGCAAGGGGAAAAGCAGGTGGGTAGCCTTCAAACCTCAGGGGAAGAGATGTTTCGAGTACAATTCCAGTAGACATGTTGCATACGCATGTTGGAAAAACAACAAAGGTAACATAGAAATTAAATGTTACAATTGTGGCAGATTAGAATAAAAATCAGTAACATTTCTAGGATTAAGAGGAAAAGACAAGGCTTAAGAGGTATACTCTCCACGTGGGACATGTAAGAATTTCAAATATTTAGAAAAAAAAATCATTTGGACTGTTATTTTGAAAACATAAAGGAAAGATAAGGAGATCAAGATAAAAAAGGAACACGTACTTCTTGACAGAGAACGATGGAACAGAATAATGGATTTTTGACTCCGGAACAATGAGCCATATGGTTAATACACTAAAATATTTTAAAAAATAGGAAGAAATAAGAGCAGAATTTGGATCAATGTAAAGAAATATTTCCATGGAAGCTAAAGCGAAAGTTAGAATAATGCCAGATATTTGAATATTGTTTGTGTGTTCCACACTTGAGACAGAATTTATTGTCTATAAATCTGATAACTGGAGATGGTGGTGAAGTAATGTTCGAGGAAAATGAAGTAATAGTTCATAAGAAGGAAGAAGAAATATTCGTAGGGAAGAGGTTATAATAATGGACTTTATAATAGTATAGAGGAACAAGAAACTAGTAGAGTGGCACAGAAAATTGAGCTACCTAAGTATAGGACACATAAGAGAGTTGTTCATGAAAACATTGGGAACGAAATTAACGAAAAGAAAACTAAAGGCAAGAATTGGAGAATGCAAGATACATATTGAAGCAAAGCAATCGAAGCCTCCATTTGTAGAGAGAAGAGGAAGCGCAAAAAGATCTCTAGAAATAATACATTCTGATAAATGTGGACCTGTAGAGCCAGAGACATGGGACAGAGATAGGTATGTGATGACAATTTTAGATTTTGTTAATTTTTTGATGATATATCTTATGGTATCAAATTCTGAAACACTACAGATATTGAAAAGTATGTTGCAGCAGCAGATGCAAAGTGGAACAACACACTGACTTTGCTAAGATAATGGAGGAGAATATACCATCAGGGAGTTCAAGAATTGATGTAGACTGAAAGGAATTATACTGGATTATACGACACTGTACACATCTCAAGTGAATGGAAAGGCGGAGAGGCTTAATCAAAGCCTTATTGATATAGATTATTGGATACGACATGAGCACTTCTGTATGACAGTGGAATAAAAAAGAAATTGCGGGTGGAAGCTGTGTATTTAGCAGCTTATTTGCAAAATAGAAGTCCTTTAAAAGCAACAGACACAACTGCATACGAAAAGTGGGCAGGAATAGACCACAGTTAAAAGTCATATTTTTCGAAATCTGGAAGTGATAGGACAATTTTGTTTGCGGATTTCTTTTCAGGAAAGTAGACTCTACCATAATTACCCAACGAATATTACAGATTAAAATTTGTATTAACAATGTAATTAAATAAATGATATGGCATAATCTTTGTACTACTGAAGAATATGATTCAATTTAACACTAGAATTACTAAAGAGGTCGAAAACCTCTATAAAGTAAATATGTATAATTACTTTTCTATCTGAATAAAATGTATACTAACTATTGTCAGATACAAATAAATATTTACAATAATTTATGCATTTATAAATCTTTCCTTATTAATAATTATTGCACAGAGGACATGAACTCATACTGAAGATGCTATTGGTTTTCCATTAATTATTAACTTCCATGCAATTAATTGATGAATTACATACACACATTATAGAAACAATATAAAAGTACTATTTACTTATTCGTAACAATAGTTTTTAACATATAAGTGTTTGAAACAACATTTTAAAGTTACAGAAAGCAAAATTTTACAAATTTACATAACTTAATGTACACACTATACATCTCTGAATGCTTTCACACGTTATTAATTGTGCATTCATAGAATTTTTTAAAAATATGTTCAATAAAAATGGTCATATTGCTTATGTTATTATGGATTAAAACAGACAGAAAAGTACTAGATCAAATATACCTTACTGATGTGTTAATCAAAAAAAGGGTTACACCAGTCAAAGGAGAATCCATATTTATTTTGCAAAGTGGAAAATCTTAAATTTTATTGAAGAATAATATATCATTTATTGTTTAGAATATGGATAATACAAAAGTCACAAACGGAGATCAAAACAATGATTAAATAACACCGTTGTAAATAAAAGAAAGAGATACATATATACTTATGTCATTTTTTGGTAAAATTATAATGAATTGTATTTTCTTTCTTCGTAGATTGTTATACGTCAGCTTTTTTGCATTGGATACTTGGATTACGCCTAGCTATTGCACTGTTGAGGATAATGAAGCGGTCGCGTGGAGATAAAATCCCATATACATGTTACCGACGAATATTTTCTCGATCTAATCGAATGAAAAATTGTTTCGACAATTCCATTCCATTGTCTCTTTTTCAGAAAAGCCTGCAGAATCCGATACTGTATCGCAATTCGTGTCAGATAAAGAATTTTTTGTAAAAATGCAAGAGTAATGCGTAAAAAGCACGCTCGACGGTTTATTTTTAAATTTTTACTATAAATTGTAATTATTCAAAAACACGAATAATTATAACGACAAACTCGGGAACTCTAACCTAATTTTCATAACCAAAATGAATCTCCTAACTTTTCTAATTTTCTTATAATCCTTCATTTTATCTAAAATATCATGCTTTTTAAAAAGACTTGCAATTTTCTAAAACTGAGGATGATAGAGCAATTTCAATTGCAGATTCGTGTTAAGGAAAGTAAACTCTACAAGAATCACCTAACGGGTATTACAAATTAAAGAAAAAATTAAAATTTATTGGACCGTATGCTTGGTAATTGGATAAAATATGTATATCGTGTTATTGTATGAATTAATAAATTAACGAATTAACGAATTAATGAATTAATAAATTAATAACACAATTGAAAAGGTAGCTATTTATAAATATATATAAAACTTCGAGATTAATATTAAGTATATTTTGTGTTTTTAATAAATTTGTAATTTACATAGTACAAAGATATATAATTATATAACATATATATATAACACGTCTGAGGAATAAACAAAATTTTCTTGATGTACATATGATTACAAAATACGGTGCATTGGTTGCATACAAAATTACACTTAAGTTGTGTATCGAATTTTCCTGCCTGAAATTTGATCATTCTAAATATTTCTCGTTACATAACTTAAGCACTTTACACTATATTTGATAAAAATGGTATAAAAATATCATAACTGCTATTTCGTGTGACATTGATTACTATTAAATAACTATGTCCAATAGATTAATCTTTTCAAGTATTACAAATTCCATTTCCTAAATATATCGATTTTCCTTCTTTAAAATTTATCACCTTGAAACATATCTTGTTCCACCTTTGTAAGGACACTTTTTCTAAATTTAAATACAAATAAGAATAATAATGTATAGTATTATAATAATTTTGTTACATTGCAAATTAAATGATTTAATTTTTTTAAATTATCGTATACTAATTATTATAAAATTCAATATATCTCTTATAATGCTCCATAATCGTAAACATTATATCGTATTTTTAAAGATAAATATGTCCCGAGGCAAGCATATTAATTTTTCGAGTAAATCACTATAAATGCGATTGTTTTACACGAAAATATATCGACCTTAATTTGGTTTCAAACTATATTTCTAATACGCTTGTTTCGTAAATATCATCCATAAATTTACAGTGATATAATGGTAAAATAACACTTGCTATTAATAATTAAACAGTGCCTGGTAAGTGCATATATGTGAACAAAACGTAATATTAATTACCTAATAATTATTATTGGCAACTTATCCGAAACCAAAATCGTCGAAGGAACTAAATTTCTCACTTGTAGTATTACTCGTAGTTTAATAATAATAATAGCAATCGAATAATTTTGGAGTAATACTTATAATACTCATAACAATTCGTACTTTTCTTGTTTGCATTTAACTCGTCGATATTAAAATATAAACGAGACATTAACACTTGTCTCATTGCATACTTTTCAAATTCATCGAATACTTTACTCCATGTGATCTTTATTGATTGAAAAGATTCGATTTCTCACAGTGGGTTACCGAGATGACAAGGTAATTATTTGTTTTTCTTCTTTTTTAACCCGACCACTTGCTTGGTCTCGCTCATGTCTTTGTTTATCTTGCCATTATGTTCATCTTTGGAAATTACATCGTCTTGAATTTCCGTGATGGTAACCCCTTCGTCCTTCATCCCCTCATCATCCAGGAGATAGTCCCAGTCTTGAGAATCGTCACCACTATCGCGAATCTTGCTTAATTCCCTCTTCAGCAACTCCAGGCATTCTCTTCGTTCCTTCCATTTCTCTGCTTGCTCGGGATTTGGCTTGGCATCATCGCCTTGCATTTCTTGCTCAATCTTTTCCTTTTCCTCGCATTCCAGTATGTACTTCTCATAATTCTCCATCTACACAGAAACGATCGATTCGTATGCTGGGAATTTCGAAATGAATCTGTCGATTTTCAAATATTTAGAATAATATTTAATCGACGACTTTCTTATGTGACTGTGATTACGAAAGTAGTTTTATGTTTGGAGACATTGGAAATTTTATTTTTATTAGATTGCAACAGGGGTTTTTCGTTATTGGAAGATGAATGAATGTAATACTAATCGAATGAAAAACTTGTTTCAATTTTTACTATTCCTATGCAATAGAGGTTTTTCATTATTGTAAGCTAGATGGATGTAATACTAATCGAATGAAAAATTCGTTTCGTTTGGAAATTGTAAATATCTTAAAAATTATTGAGTAGTGGCACCTATAATCATATATCTTCACCATCAGGGGAATTAAATCTACCATCTTGCGAAATTTGAACTAAATCGGCGACCCGAAGGCCTTACAGTCTCCACTTGCTTAGACCACTTTCGTAATTAAAACACATATATGTTTATTTAGATTTATTTTACTTCTTTTCTTTTTTCAGATTTGAGAAGAGTAAGACAGAAAGAAATAGTCATATTGCTTTGTCAAATGGTATAAACAATTTGTAAAAATTGTCTTCTTTAAAACTCAATTTTTTCTTTAAGGTATTTGTGACAAATGTAAATTCTAAATCAATGTTAATAGGAATTAAATAAAAATTAAAATTGCTTCTACAATTGTAGGAAATGCTTGATTTTTATTTTCATTTCTTATAAATATGGTAGATTTACTATTATTAATCGTCTAAGTGATTACGTTTAATTATCCTTTATCTATAAATTTACTACATTTTTACAAAATTTTTTTTAACTATACTCAGTTCTATCTATGTAAATTCAAATTATCTTTTTATTTTCGTTTTTTATCTAATTCAGAAAATACGACTGTTGAGAAATAGTAGTTAAATATGAATGAAATAATAATTTAATTAATAACGTCAGTACCGTTAATAATTAAATTACATTACACGTAAATTCGGTAATTTCTCAGCGATAATTTGTAAAAATATTCCATTTTTATAAGTAAAAATTCAAATTTCCATTAATGGCAGATTAGTTCAATATCTAGAACTTATACGTTCATCTTCGTCATGAGTGATCGACTGCATGAAACTCTCGACGTTACTCACTGCTGCTTTCCTTGATTAAAGAAGAAACAAACATAACAGTGATTCCACGAAGCCTTAATCAAAGTAAGATTTTACCAATTTATTTACCAAGAATTACTGTGCTATTACACGGTAAACTCGAAATCTTTGCCAATGAATCCATTAATAAATTAATAAATTAGCAATTTTTTCGTTAAAAGAAAATTTGTAAAAATGAATAAAAAATTTAAGAACCTTGTCTCGTAGCATTTGCTGGACATTATTTTGCCTTTTTAGATGCCGTGGTAACCAAAAGCACGCCTGGATGAGTCTCAAGAATATCCAAACAGCTCCAGCAAGTGCCAGGTACGAACAAGCAGTGAACACCATACTTATAAAATCGACTGAAATCTGTTGGTACTTCATATCGATAATTTATTATTTTTAACAAAATCTGCAATCAGTAAACAAATAAAACACGAATAATATCACCTTCTACATCGATTAAAGCAACAGATCGATGACGTGTAATTATTTCTATCAATTTAATTCCCTCCAGTGCAATATCCAAATACATTCAAGTAAATCAACGTACACGATAACTACTATTATAAATATATTTATAATACTCAAACTTACAACAATTAATGACCAACATACTACAGAAATATTTTCAATATTCGTGATATAATCTTTTCAGAACATTTGTGTTATTTTTTTCTTTTTTTCTGTTTTTCGTTCTTACGTCAGTATCAATAATTATACGAATTGTATTTATCTATAATATAATAACTATTGTATTTACCATTACCTTGAGCAATGTTTGAAATGCAATATAGCATAGACAAGTGAAGTACGTGAACAGTGAATTAAAATGTTCATACCTAATCTACTGTTATACCAAAAGTAACACATTGGAAAAGAAAATTATGATATTAACGAGTGATGTGCAGTACACGTAATAAACGTCAATGATATTACGACATCCATTTACTTATCGACGACATACTGTGAGTATATTGATTACGCTTATTTCGTTAGAGCGATAAATGTGCATTATACATTGTAAGGATATTCCATATTTTTTGTAACGTTAGTTTAAGCATCCTGTATTTGCAATTTCTCCTTAATATTACATCGGTAACCAACGCTGCCTTCAGGACATTACAATGTGAACCGATTTTGTATATCTATCGTATATCACATCGAAATACGCATATTTAATGAAATTCTTACGTGTCACACTCACCATGTTATACAAATTGTCGTTAAATTGCTACTGTTGACTAAATCGCAGGTACGTAGTTTACTCGCATGTTATGCAAATAAAAAAAAAGCATTATTTGAAATAATAACTATATATAACTTATAAAAAGACGTGTAAAATTTGTAATACAATAATACGGAGAAAAATAATTTTCGTTTCATCCTTTGTACGTTCCTTGATACATAAACGATTGATAAATTAAAAAAATCATACAACTGACAAAATCGCTTAGTAATTAAGTATAGCACAAAGAGTAATTGTTTATTAATAATTTTAATATTATCGAAAGTCACAAACATAATTGCGTTACTTTCCGATAATTTTCCATATTTTTCTAGTTAATTTATGACACATGTTTAACAGCGAATATAATACGAATAGGAAGAAACATAAATATACTATAACGTATATGCGAATATTCTATATTCGTTTGAATTCTACTTAATTGTAGCGCGCAAATTTCATTTCGTTCAAAATTTGTGTACATGTTTTGGTTGGTCTGACTTACCCTTTTAAAGAAAATACGATGTTATCATATCCAAATTAGGAAAAGTTTGTATATAAAAAAAGTCAAAAGTGAACTGTAACGAGAGTAGAAAGTAGAAGAAATAACAATACGTCAGGCTGGCAGGTGAAACACGACTATTCACTACTGACCCCTATCGAAACAATCGATATATGAATATAGCCACGTATGATTAAGCCGACATCCTGACGTCTTACAAATATTTCAACGTAAACAGGACATTTCACGCTATTAATAATTCACTGTTCTTTGCTCTATTTCACTTTGTTATTATCTAACAACAATCGCTTAACTTTGAAATCCTTTAATTACTTTTTGGACGTATAAATATTTATTATAAACTACATGTAATAGTGATTGATTTTCGCACATTTAACAGTGGCTTGATACTTTAACTTAAATTAAAATGATTTCCAATAAAAACGGCTTTAGAAAATGTACTTCTTAAATCATATCTTTTCTTAAACGATATTGTCTTAATTTATTTACGAAAAATATTATAAATAATTCGATTAACTTTTTCGTATTTAGAAAATAAAAATATAGAGGTTATACGTAAGGAAATATATTTATAATTTAATTTTAACAGCAAAATATAAAAAGAATATATTATTAATTTAAATTATAAAACTTTTCTTTACCATTCTTATAAATAAAAAAATAAGATAGAATAATACATATATCTTCGATATTACATTAAAAACAATATGGATAATGAAAATATGTAATATTGGTATCTATAATAAAAACTTATTTAATTATCGTAAATTTCATTCTTGCACTTTCACATAAATTTGAAAGTACCTAAAGCTGAAAAGAACAGGGAAATTAAATCAAGAATACACACTTTTATTTTTACAGAGATAACTTAAAAATAAAACGCTCCACGTTCCAACTAACATTAATCATCTAAATACAAATTGACACTTTGTGGTATTAATAGCAAGATTCGAGTAGCATTATCGTTTAGATTGCAGAATTTATTGCGTATCATTTACTATCAAATTCTAACGTTTAACGTGACTTCAATACATAATTTATTTCCTACGAAATTATACACGTTCATCTAAGCCTGATACAGAACGTACAGAGTAAACAGATGTGGAATGTTTGTGACAGCGCAATTGTTAACAGAAAGGAACAAGGCCCATTGCATTCTTAGTTTTAATACTTGATATACGTATATTTTTTATGTTTTTAAAGAAGAGAAATATTTACGTCATAGATCTTACATAGAACAGGAGGTAAGGAGTGGCGGAATTTCGTGGATTTGGCGCTAATTTATCTTCTAACTCTCGTAATGGGATTACATGTACTGCTTCGTCATCACATTCCAACCACGTGCTAGGATGTTTGTGACGTCTAATACCACAACAATCCATACTGCGACAACCAAACCTGATTAACTGTTCCTTAGTTTCACTAGCACTTGGTTTACTTCTAAAGTATTTTAATATACCGGATGTTTTATCCGATGATGATGAGTTTGTGTTTGTGCTGCTACTACCCTGACCAGAAGTTTGTCGCTTACTATCTCGGTCACATTGGAAATATTCTGCGAATGCAGATTCGTCGGGTAAACGGGTATAAGCAACATAATGACCAGCTGTCATTGTTGCACCCTGGTGCATAATTACAGAATATAATTTATATACATGTCGTGATTCTGATCTGCCGCCTGTAGTTCCCCGTGTTTGATCGTTGTTACATTCTTCGCAAAAACATTGTAACGTTAATGGTGTTGGCATATGATTATTAATTTTTTCCATTGACCTAATGTAATGTATATCTTTATAGAAAATATGTAAAGTTTGCTTTTTTAGTCTAATAAATAAAATTATAAAATCAAATCTTACCCAGCTGCAGTAGAAAATCTTTTCAACTGCAATATAAGTAACCTTGGTAAAGATGGGAAACATACAGCTCTACGAGCTTCATTGTACCGAAGACATCGTGCGCACCAATACTTATCCCGACCCCAAAGAAGTTCACTAGTAACTACTGCACGTTTGTATACTTCACTACTATCCATTGGTCTTAATTCTTTATCTGTAAATAAATATATCTACAGTTTAATCATTACAAATTAGTTAATATGTAAAAAGATAACCATTAATGTTACTTACCCTTTTCACTTGATCTGTCTATATCAATAGGCACACATATATCGCAGAACGTTTCTTTTCGTTCTGTAACATGTTCACACTCAAGACAAGTGGTTCGTAAAAGACTAATTCCCTCAAAATCTTCAGAAATAAAGCACTTCTTGCTTTCCGGTCTATGACTACCTATGTCTCCATTACTCTCCGGAAATTCAGCATGACCATTTTCGTATTTCATACAATATTTCATACAATATTTCATATTTTCATATGGTCTAGAAGATACTGATACACCATTTAAATTCGACTGTACAAGACAAGATGAACTTCCTCTTGTTGTTATCTTTTTCTTTTTTCTAGATTTACGAATGCTCCTTTTATTGGAATTACTACCTTCTGATTGTACATCTGTTAAATGTTCAGTGGAGAAGTCTGATAATCCATCGTTATTTTGTCCAAATTGACTTTCTCTATATCTAACCAACAATTGGAATGTTTCCCTGATATTATCAAGTAAACAAACTAAAAGTTCATGTGCATCTTGTTGCTGATTTCCCTCGAAAATAGGGTTCACATCTCTAAAACGAGAATATATGCAATATACAGTCACATCATCCTAACACAATAAATTTTGTATGTATTCTGAATACAATCTTAATATATTTTCAACATAATATATTAAAAATATATTTATATTATATGTACCTAAGAGCCTGCAAAAATGCATCTGGCTGGTATGGCTCACTGTTTTCTCTTGCTTCAGATGCACGTAATGCCATGAACAATTCGTGTAACTTTTCAGTAGCTATTTGTATTCTATGTTTATTACTATCTCCTGTAGGTCCAGCCAGAGCTAGTAAATCTTTGCTACTCCAACTTCGGCTACCACTTGATGTAAGTGACACACCCGTTCTACCCAAAGATGATGATTTTATCTAATAATAAAAATATATATAATTTTACTACGCTATCATTTTTCCACACAAAATTATAAAAAATATTTTTTTAAATATTATAATATTTACTTTAGTTTGAAGTTGTTTATCATTTAAATTAGACAAATCAATAGCCAAGTGATGCAAATTATGTAAAAAGGATGGTGCAAATCGTAAAGTATATATCACACTGTTTAAAAAACATGTATTTCCTAAATTACATAAAGTAGCTATTCTTAATCCTTCTGCACCACTATTCGATACATCATAACTTCCATCTTGATGATTACTCAATTGATTGCGATAACCATTCAACATTTTGCTTGTACCTTCATAATTAATGAACATTGAATTACACAAAGTTATCAATTTTAACAATATCCTTCTAATAAGTACAATATAAAAATTCATGAAATAATAGTGTTTACATACTATATGTATAGGTATCTCTATTCAAAAGGCTCTCCCTTACTAAGGTCTGAGGAGCCTTAGAAATGTTGCTAGAAATTGTACGTTCACGACCAGAAAGGGATAAGCAAAATTTTTTCCTAGGGGGAACTGAACGTTTATCTGCATCTTCTTCTGTTTCTAATACTGTCATTTTTTGTTAACCTGAAATAACAATCAACTATATAATTGACTATTAATATAAACTTCACTCAAAACAAATTTGCTTTTATAAAATATGATTTGAATTCCTAAATTCAAACTTATAATGTTTCATATACAATGACATTTGTATTAATTATTGATATTAGTTATTAAATAGGGTTTAAAATCTATATACTTACGTATTATTTAGTAAGGAAGTCATGGAACAAATGAGTTCGTTATTAACCTTAGTTAATCGAAAAAATCTATATGTACAATTAAACCACAAAATATTCCGTGGGTAACACGAACTACATTTCTACTGCTGTCAGGCGGAACACTTTTTCTTACAATATTGCAGTAGCCATTACCCGTTGCACCTGATATCATATATTCATGAACCGCGTTCATGTGCGGTTACAATTTTAGATTTATGTAGTTTTTCCTATACTGTTCACACTGTCGTCATTAACGTTTCCCTAGAATCCGTTACAAGCGTTTGCGTCTGAAAATGGACGTTGGTGCGACTATGACATAAGTGTGTGTTCAATAGGTCAAAAGCAGTTTCATTTTTGTTATAGCATGGATAACTTTAAGAATACTTTACTGTTTCTTTAAAATCAGTAACATAACAATATTTTTTCCTTTATAATAGTTATAAAAAAATAAAATTGATTATTTATATGTACAAATGAAACGATTTTATTATTCTTATTTAATTGGACAATTTAATTATGGTTTATATATGTTTTTTTCATATTCTATTTTACTTTTCTAATTCTCAGTTACTAAATACCAATGAAATTTAAATATAACTATCCTAAATTAATTCTTTTTGTCCATTTGTATTAATTTTTTTTGGCCAATTTTTAATGTTTTATTAAACTATTGAAATATATATGTGTAACTATTATATTATCTAAGATGTTATGTACTTAATTTCATAGGTAAAGCAACTTCTTTTTTTCATTTTGTTTAATTTTTTTTACATTTTGTAAATATTGCTATATATATTTATAATAAAATACATATTTCCATATTGCATAAAAAATTTATTTTTTCTTTCAATTTTAGAATTCCTATATTTTTATCTATTATTATTTGTAGAACATTGATATGTGGTGATTAATTTTAAAAATTTAATAGATTTGTCAAGCCAAATATATGTTAAATCAATATTAATTTTAGTAACTTGTGTCTATTCAATTTTGTTAAGGAATAATATTTTATTAAATTTGTATATACTTTTATTACTTCTTAATTTTACATATTAACATATTTAATTTATTTTTCTATATTAGCATGGATTCAATCTAATGCTTCTTTATCACTTTTTCATTGATTTAATATTTATTTTCATAAAAATAAATTAATCTTTAATTTCATTTAATTTACTTTAATTAATATTTAATAAACATTGTAGATTATTTCAATTAGTATATGTAATAATATAAAACATATTTTTGTTATAAGCATATATTAACCAAGAATATTAATAGTTTTTAATCTAGCATGATAATATTAACGAGATAATATAACTTAATTAAAGTTTATAAACATTTTATTTTCATAGTATAGTTTAATATGATTTGATAACATGAGTCACTAAGAATATTTAAAAACTATATGTTTATAATAAAACATTATTTTATGATATGTTACGTAAATGCATACCATTAAGAAGCCTCATCTTATTAAAGAATGAAATTATTATTTTTATATTCATATAAAACATTTCATTATTTCTACATTATTATAATATATCTTATTATCATCTTATATAATAGTTTTATTGTAGTAGGAATACTATGTATATTCCATAATATGATTATACAGATATATTTCATTTTTAAATCATATACATAATAACAAATAAAATTTGACGAAAAATAAATATTATCAAAATAAAGAACAAATTATTTGTAGTATATAAGTTATTACAATTAATTAATAATTCATAATTTATGTAAAAATAAAAAATGAAATAAATTCATTGTTTAAAAATAAATATTTAATTAATCATTTGTTAGTCATACTAGTAAGAACGATTATTAATTCTTTTACTAAAAACAATATTATTTTGTTATAATTGATTTACAAAACACTTACGTACTAATTTTTAATTTTTACAATCTTATTCTCATAAAATTGCTATTTTCGTCAAAAATAATTTGTATACATATAGTAAATTTAGAAGTATATTAATTGTAACATTAAAAGTACACAAAAATTACGTAAATAAAAGAATTTATTGATTTTGTAGTATGTACATTGTTAAATGTTGCTATAATAATGTTCAATAACATTTAATACCAACTATTACAATTCATCAATATTGATATATTATAATATTAGGAGGTTGTTTGCACTTATATATAAAATAATATGACATATACAGACACAAAATAATTTTATTTTTTTTTATTTCTCAACTTTAATCATGTATATAGTTTCTTTTTAAATATTACTTTTTAGTAGGTACATCAGTATGGTTACAGTAGCTATGTATAATGGTTGGTATTATTTTCCTTCAATCTTACATCTTCGATGTTATTTAAAACGCAAACTATTGATACATTTTTGTCAATTTTCATACTTACATTATACAAATATTAGAATATTACGTGAAAAATTATTGTTAATTATTTAATGGTATATATTATTATATTGTTTCACGAAAAATATTAAAAATATGTATACATTTTTTCTAAATTTATTAGATATGAATAATATATTCTGATTTAATCGTTTATTTATTTGTTTACTTGTTATATATGACAAGTATAAACAATGTATTTTTGTTAATAAAAATAACTACAAGCATATGTAGGGAATTCTATATATTATATTGGCTAAAATGTATACGCTTATTTTGAAAACGGTTACAAAAGCGTATAAAATAAACAAACTGTTGAAAAGGTAACAAAAATTTCATATTATTTATCTGAAATGGGCTCAAATAGTTTTGAAAAATTAATAATTCAAGCTCGATATCTTGATGACGGCATTGAAAAACTAATTATGGCTTGGAAACTTCCCCATGTTTTAATTGGACGTTTTGCAGAATGTACCGCAGAAACAAATTCTTATGTCGAAGCTGTATGGAATGACATAAGAAATAAACAGGTCTGTATTAGGCTAATATGAATATTTCTTACTATTTATTTAAAATTATTAATTTAATATGCATTTATTTTATATTTTTTAACATATTCTATACCAGAATGGGATAGATGAAATTTTGTCACAAATGGAAGGTTGCAAGTCAAAAAATTCAGTACATATGGAAGAATTTCTTCAAGAAGTTAAGAAAGACTATGAAACATTAAAAGAGCAGTGTGACCATTTGAATAATGTTTTTGAAGAACATGGGTATCATTATAGTGAAGATGATATTTTAAACGAGTAAGTTTTCAATTTATAGTATTTCACATTTTAATGTTTAATATTTTGGTATCTTATTTCAATTGTAGAACAAGTATAAACAATAACAAGGGCTCTGCTGAAAATTTAGTTGAAGAAATGGGAAATTTAGAAATCGAATTTACTCCTAATCTCAGTTGGAAGTGTAAAATAAGGCAAAATGAATTAACATCAATATCTAGTAATAGTTGTATATCACATACATTTACAACACCTTCAACTAGTAGTTTAACAATTCCTAATGATAGTTCTATTATACATAAGGATTATATATGTACTCCAGGAAGAGAACGACCACAAGAACCAATTTATTCTAAACATTTTTATAGTATATTGAAAAAATAAGTTTTTTCAAATTGTATATTTTGTCACATATTGTAAAGCTTGTGTAAATAATTTATATATATTTTTATTAACTTTTTATAAATTTAGTTAATAAAATCGTTTAAATAAATGATAAAATTATGCCTCAATATAATTTCCAAAATCTTATTACCTTAAAAAATCTTACATATAATACAATATGTAAAAATAATTCTCAACATTTTCTTTTTCTTTTTTAGGAGTATTATTTTTATGATAAATTTAGTGATTAAAATAAAATAACGATTTGAATAAATAAAAGTAAAACTTAATTCAACAATTATATTTACATGTATTATATTAAATATATATTAAT